AAAAAAAAAAAAAAAAAAAAAGGGAAGTAATCCTCTTTTATTTTATTTTTTTATTTTTTTATTTTATCTGTTGATCAGGGCCGGAGGAAAGTATTGTTGGGTTGGTATCCCTACCTGCGTTTTCCCTCCCACCCACCCCCTTGTCTGCATTCCGGGTTGTTTACAGTGCCACGTCAGCAGTGCCACGTCAGCAATGCCATGTCAGCAGTGCCACGTCAGCAGTGCACATCAGCAGTGCCAGGTCAGCATCCATGACGGGACCAGCGCTGGGCTTACCAGGCCCACTGGCCAACGAGTCCATCACCGAGTACCGACAGCGGGTCGAGGCTCAGCTCGCGCTCATTGAGGCCGAGGAACAGCGCCAGGCGGCAGCCGAGGCTGCCCGCCTACAGGCCGAGGCGGCAGCGGCAGCTGAAAGGCAGCGGCTTCAGGCCGAAGCCGAGGCACACACCAGGACACGCCGGAAGGAAGCCCTGGAGCTGCTGCAGCGCCATGAAGCAGCCAGCATCGAAAGGCTCAAGTACTGRCACTTTGAACCAAACGGCGACGAGCCGACACCGGAAGAGCAACACAAGGAGTTTCTCTCCAAGCTCGTGTCACGCCTGTTGTATACTTGCAACTACCAACGGGCCGAACTAGAGAAACAACACCAAGAGTTGGCAGACCTCCGCCGAATAGTGCAGGGCCACGAGGATGCAACACAGRCACTCAATGCCCGTGTACTGGACCTGGAACAGTTTGTACCAGGACCAGATGCTGGTACGTCCAGCAGTGAACCCTCTAGCCGCCAACTGGAGGAACGCGTTGACCACGTAGTGGCGATGCTCGGCAACATCAGTGCTTTTGCTGCACCTACCACCATCAGCAGTCAGCTGCACACCTTGAAGACCGAGGTCCAGCAGCTGCAGTCGACGAACTCGGAGGGCAATCCTAAGTTGTACAAGATGCCAACCTTCCAACTCGAGAAGTTCGACGACTACACGCATCAGGATCYGGTCCTCTGGTGGGAAGCATTCACGACGCAGCTTCGGATCCTGCCAGTCGCCAAGCACGCATACATCGGTGCCCTTTTCCTTAACTCAAAGGGCGCATGCCAGACTTGGTTGACCCATCTGGCAGCCACTCACGGCATCGATGTGGTAGATCTTCGAGACAAGATCACATGGGAGGAGTTGACATGGTTGTGGAAGGAGAGGTTCATCGTCGACGACGCGCCTGCCCTCCCCATCAACCGCCTGTTCACCATGACCCAAGGCAACACGGCAACACGAGACTGGCTCACGGAATGGCAAAAGATCGCGGCAACGCCGGATCTGGACTTGCCATTTACGCATTTGCGCCGAGAGTTCTACAATAGGTCATGTGTTGCACTGAGCCAGACACTTGGTGATCGCGAGCAGTACTCAACCTTCGCTGAGATCATCGACAAAGCGAGGGAGATCATCAAGACTAATAGGGCGGCTGCACACGAGAAATCAGCATGGCAACCAACCTATGTGGAGAAGGTAAAGACTGGTCCGCGGCAGCAGCATTTCGCTGAAGTCCAATCGGACAGTGGAGACGACCCGACAACCACCAAGGCATCAAGTGAAGGAGATCAGGTGGCTGCTGTCCAGGCGAGAAGCACCAACAAGTCCCGGAACAATGGGAAAGCGAAGACCGCATCATCGGCTGGAACAGGACAGCCAGCGCCATGGGTCAAGTTTAACTTGACCGAGGCCGAATACAAGTACCGTGGTCGGTACGGCTGCTGCTACTGGTGCAATAGCACCAAGCACAAGACCTCCCTCTGCCAGGACAAGGAGAAGGAGGATGTTCGGCCTCGCAACAACTCGAAAAAGTGAGTAGCGCGGGAGGTGAGACGACTCCACCTCCCACTCCGCCAGATCCGTCCGCCTTGCTAGCGGCCTCCTACACATCTGAGGAGGATGCGAATGTCGCAAGTTCTCGTGTCACTTACGAGGACTATGCTGTCCACTTGGTCCCACCGCTGGACCAACCACTCCACGTGCAACACTCCACCGCATGCACGGTTTCATCTCCATCGGCAATCGATTTGGCAGTTCCACCATCATTTACCTCAGGGGATTCGTCGATGTAGTCAAGACTTGAAGAGCTCGACCTGTTGACAGTCGCGGACTTCCAGTGGATGCCCGTTCCCCCGACCGGTCGATTGTCGAAACCGCATTACAATGTGCTCATGGCACAATTGCCGGAGTATTTGCACACTGCAGTACCAACTCCGTTGATGGACGCCGGAGTAAAGGTTGTCGACCTTCAGGAGTACATCGCGAAGATCGACCGCGAGTTCAAGACACAACGGTATGATGACATTGACGCACCATTGTTGTATGTACACATTCAGATCGGAGAGGCGACCTGCAGCGCCTTGATCGATTGTGGTGCAACTCGCAACTACATGAGTCAGGACTTCATGGTACGCGCCGGCCTGGGCCCACGCGTCAGGAGGAAGTCCCATCCGACACACGTGACGTTGGCCGATGGTCACACGCACAAGTCAATTGACCGGTGCATTGACAACGTCCCTGTGTATTTCGCCCCGCATGCATGCGAGGCCGTGTCCTTCGACATTCTGGACACTAAGTTCGACATGATTTTGGGCATGTCATGGCTGCGAAGTGAGGACCACCCGGTGAACTTCTACCGCCGCACCGTTCACGTTCGTGACCGGGATGGAGTACTAGTCCCATGCACAGTGCCTCCTCCTCACCCTTCGATCAGCTGTCAYRTGGTGTCCGYCGCAAGTATTCGAGGTTCCATCATCAAGGATGAYATTGAGGAGATGGGGGTGTGTTTTCTCCACGCCCTCCCGCCCCAGGACACCCCATTGACGGACGCATCATCGGACCCACGCATCACTGAGCTTCTCGCCACTTATAGTGACGTGTTCGAGGCCCCGCACGGAGTAGTACCGGATCGGCCCATCCGCCACGAGATCATCCTCGAGGACGGGGATGTACCTCCGCGTGGTTGCATCTACCGAATGAGCGAGGAAGAGTTAAGTGTGGTACGGGCACAACTCGACGACCTTCTGGAGAAAGGCTGGATTCGGCCTAGCTCTTCGTCATACGGTGCGCTTGTTCTCTTCGTCCGGAAGAAGAACAAGGATTTGCGGTTGTGCATCGACTATCGTAAGCTCAACGCGCAGACGGTCTAGAACGCTGACCCTCTCCCACGCATCGACGATCTCCTGGAGCGACTGGGCGGCGCCAAGTTCTTCTCCAAGTTGGACCTCAAGTCGGGTTATCACCAACTTGAGATTCGCCCGGAGGACCGATACAAGACCGCGTTTAAAACGCGATATGGGCATTTCGAATGGCTGGTCATGCCGTTTGGCCTTACGAATGCCCCAGCCACATTCCAGGCGGCTACGACATTGGAGTTTCGACACATGCTGGATCGTTTCGTACTCGTCTACCTCGACGACATCTTGGTGTATAGTTGGAGTTTGGACGAGCATGTGGAGCACCTGCGCACCGTTCTGGAACGGCTACGACAGGCTAAGTACAAAGCCAACCACGACAAATGCGAATTCGCGCGGCAAGAGTTGGAGTACTTGGGACACTATGTGACGCCGCAAGGCATCCGTCCGCTTGCGGACAAGATCGAGGTCATCCGCGTATGGCCCGAGCCCACCAACACCACGGACGTTCGTTCATTCATGGGGTTGGCAGGCTATTATCAGCGTTTCATCACCGGATACTCAAGGATTGCCGCACCTCTGACGAGACTACAATCGCCAAAGGTGCCATTCGTATTCGATGACGACGCCCGCCAGGCTTTCCAAGCACTCAAGACGGTCATGCTCATGGCACCCGTCCTTAGCATCTACGACCCCACTCTGCCTACGAGAGTGACGACTGACGCTTCCGGTTACGGCATTGGGGCAGTCTTGGAGCAGCATGACGGCGAGGATTGACACCCTGTGGAGTATTTCAGCCACAAAGTGCCTCCCATCAATTCTCTGGATGATGCAAGGAAGAAGGAGCTGCTTGCGTTCGTCATGGCTCTCAAGCGATGGCGACACTTCCTTCTTGGGCGTCGTAGGTTCACATGGGTCACGGACAATAACCCATTGACCTACTACAAGACGCAGGACACGGTCAGCAGCACGATTGGACGGTGGATGTACTTCATCGACCAGTTTGACTTCACACCGAAACACGTTGACGGCCTCTCCAATCGCGCAGCAGATGCACTTTCGCGACGACCTGATCTTTGCGCTATGACGCATCACGCCTTCGCGTTCGACGAGGACCTCCAGCGACACTTCATCAGGGGCTATCAGTCTGACCCAGATTTTGCTACGTTGTATGCGCAGCTATCTTCGGATCACCCGCCGGCCAGCCACTATCGCATTGCCGACGGGTACTTGCTCCTCCACTCGAGAGGCAAGGACTTACTGTGTGTCCCACGCGACCGCTGTCTTCGGACTCGCCTTCTCGGCGAGTATCATGATTCGCGACTCGCCGGCCATTTCGGAGTTAATCGCACGATTGCACGGCTTCGACAACGATTCCGATGGCCCGACCTCATTTCCGATGTCATGCGGTATTGCGATTCTTGCGAAGTTTGCCGACGCAGCAAACCCCGCAACCGCAATCCCTATGGCGAGTTACGCCCGATGCCTATCCCCCGGGAACCCGGTATCTCCATTGCTATGGATGTCACCGGTCCGTTTCCTCGAAACCGGCTCGGGCACGACGGCATCCTCACGGTTGTGGACCGATTGAGCAAGTACGCACGTTTTCTTCCTTGCAAGTACTACTCCACGGCTCCCGAGATGGCACGCCTCTTGCACACCGGTTGGATTTGTGGCCACGGCGTACCCGAGGACATAGTCAGCGACCGCGACACTCGTTTCATGTCGACTTTTTGG